ATTGGTACCAATCACTCATGATCATTTAGGAAAGGAAGGGGTTGGTAAATGTGATATATGTCCCACTCTCCACCCGGAAGGATCCTATTGTGTGCTTGCAGCTACTGGTGGTAAGGAGAGGAAGGAAACTGGCAGCACTGAGGGGATGGGGACTCATGGGGGGCCTGGGCAGCAGGGGGAATGTATAGTGTGAAGGGAGGGTGATGGGTGCAGTGGGGGGAAATTTCTGGAACCGATCCCCTGTATGGTTCTCTCTGCACCAGCTGAAAACCAGTGTGAGGGAAAGGAATAGAAGGCAGTTTTCAGCTGCTGCTGAAAGAGTCATACAGTGGATCGGTTCCAGTAATTTCCCCCACCGCACCCATCACCCTCCCTTTGCACCATACATTTCCCCCTGCAGATATTGCTCCCCACTGTGCCGATCAGCCTCCCTGCCCACATCCAATTCATCCAGCTGCCTGGGCCCCCCTGCAAGCCTGGGCCCTGTACAGGAGGACTGGTGGTACCCCCTTATCCATGGCCCTGGCTCCAGTTTTAGCAAATCTCCCTCTATGAATACTTGCCTTCTGGGTTTCTCTATTGGCACAGGCTAATACTCCTATTCTCTCCCTCCTTTAACCCTGTGCCATCATCTTGATTACTGGACACCATCACTAACTGGCTTCTTCTCCTGTGTTTTTGCCAGTCATCCAATGACACCAGAGAGTGTGCTGTTTGAGATCTGGAACTGTTTACTATATTGTACAAATTTCTATGGCTACAGAAACAGAATTACACTACTGACATACATGTTGCTGAAGCCATAGCAATGTATGATCAATGGAGTTTATTCTGAGATCTCTCAAGGCTGGTGATGTAGCCATCCCAGTAGGCAGCTGCATGCAACTGTGTTTTTTTTTTTGTTGTTGTTTTGGGGACAAAGGTTCACTTAAATCAGTACAAGCATTGTGGAAAGCTCTGATGCTGTATATTGAGCTCCATAAAAATACATTTTTGGTATGGAAGCTCTGCAGAATAGTTGTTTCGTGTTTTAATTAATACCAGAGTATTTTATCATGTTATCCATCAATTATTATGACAAAAGGTGAAGTTTAGGGGAAACCCTTTATTGACTATCTTGAGTTCATATAGATGCAAGATTTTGGTACCTGTTAGGTTCAATGCTCAAGCATTATTTAAATTGCTGAACACCTAAGGAAAGGTACATCTTTCTTAACTCAAGTAAGCCAATAAAGGTTTTCACTTAAACTCCAAACTTTCCACATTTAGTCACAAAGAGAAAAGCTGTGATCTTTGCTCTTTGACATAAGCTTGTTTTTCGTTGGTAAATCATTGCAGGAAAGAAAATACAGGGATCAGAGGTCAAGATAACTGGAAATGGGTCACTGTCCATTGACCATGTTGACAGAAGTTAAAGGAAAAAAAAAAAAACATACAATGAACATAACCCTATATCCTGAATACAATCAAGGTTCCATCTTGACCATTTGGTCACACATCCCCGCCATAAATCCAAACTAGTAAACACCCTTCATCTAAAATCCACTAAAACTCCTGGCAATGAAAAAAAAACTTTTGGCAATACATGGAAACATCTGGGAAATCTCAGTAATCACAAAATGAGATAAATATTTAACAGAGGATACCAGTTCCTCTCTATTATATCCAAAAGGCCAAAAATAGGCTTAACTGTGAAAGGAATAAAGTAATCAGAAACAATATTTTCATAGACACAGATAGCTTGCTGCTAAACACCCCATTACACAAAAATGGCAAACATACCTTTTAGCCTTCAGGTGTGATAATATTACCAAAGAGGCAGCTTTAGCATGCCTTAAAATTATATCTAAAACCAAAGTTCTCTACCTATACAATGTTTATTTTATCCGATGCCCAGGAACGCAACTACCGAATATTGGGCTGCATTCACAAAGCAGTATCTATCACTTTAACAAATGCAGTAAAATACTGCTCAGCATTTTTCAAAAAATGTTTTGGCATTCACTAAAAATGCTTCTAAAATACCGCATGCAGAATTTATCTCATGAAACCATGCGGTATTCATCCAGTGGGATGGATACAGTGGAGAAGAATTAGAACCCCTGTCAGTTTTTATTGCTAATAAAGAGGTAAAATTGTTTGAACTGTAGAAAAAAGCCAAATCACTAAGTCAGTGCGGTCTCTGCAGCAGATGTATTAGTATAAAAGAAAAAGGGTGACCAGACAATCAGCCCAAGCTGCATTCACAGGACACACGTGATGTATCAAAAATTAAATCAAAAGTTAAATTAAGCAAATGCAAAATATCTTTCTAAATGTCAAATATTGAATGAAAGTAGTATCAAAAATCACACACACATATAAATACCTTTCTTCTGCAATGTTGTCTTTTTTATTGGTGAAAGGATATTATTATTATTATTATTATAACACAGTATTTATAAAGCGCCAATAGTTCGCTCAGCGCTGTACCCCTGAAATATTTTCCAGTTTCAGGAAACCCCTGCTAAAAATTATTATATTTACAACTCATCATACATTAGTGGTCAGTGGGAAGAATGCTCCTTACACTTATGGTCACTGAGAAGAATTACCTCCTTATAGATCGCTAAAAATATCAATGATGTCAGTGGGAAGATATCTCCAAAAATAATTGCAAAAAAGTAAAGTATCCCCACTACATATGACATATGGTCTAACAAGGGATTAGACCATTGTCATATGCATGTACTGTATGTTGTATAATGTTTGAGGTGATCAGGAACTTTTTTGCAGCAAGTGATGTAAATGCTTGTATATACATAAATAATGTCTCTGAAAATCTGGTGAAATGACAGTAGAAAATGAATCAATTTTACTGCATGTAATGGGGTGGATTTACTGAAGGCACATAGACTAAGCACTTTGTAAGTGAAGTTGTTCCAGAGCTTAGTAAATGAGGGGGAGTTCTGCTGACTTCCATCATCCAATCATGTGCAAGCAAAAATGTTTTTTTTTCCTTGCATGTGATTGGGTACTCTTTATAAAGTGAAGCTTTACCTCATTTACTAAGCTCTGGAGCAACTTGCAAATTTTTAATTTTGCATAGAGTAAGGGAGAGTTATAACCCCTGTCATTTTTGTTTTCATTTTATGCCATCTGTGTCCCCATTGTTAGATTTCCCCTCTATTTCTTTTCTGGGGACAAACCAACATTTTGGATTTTCTTTTGCTTTCACTTTCAATGATAATGGTAAACAGGACAAACAGAGAGGGTGAATCTAATGGGGGGACAGACAATAAAAACCTGACAGGTGTTCTAATCTACCTCCACTCTATCCAAAATTGAAAAAAAGTTTTTCCGTCAGTAAATCAACCCCAATGATTTCCATATTTAGTTTTCTATGCATTACAGTTGAGAGAACTAATCGAAAAAGGAAGAGAATACTCAAAATTGGCCATTATATTTTTACATTCGTTGAGTACCGCATGTGTGGACCACTACTTAATTACAACATGCATTTCATTATTTATTTCCTTCTGTGAATTGAGTTTAATGCATTTTCATGCGGTATTTACCGAGCATTTTTGAGTGTTTTGTGGTAAATACTGTGAAACAGTAGAGTGAATTGACAGTTTCAGGATTGCATGTGATATTTAGGGGAAACGTCTCCAGACACCTACATACCTTATGAGATACACTTTTGTGAATGGAGCCCATTGTCAAGATGGTACGTCTGCCCCACAATCTTACATAAAATAGATCTTTCTAATCCTAATACATGTAAGAGATATTTATAGGCCCCTGGCACTATGACCCACCTTTGGGGCACTTGCCATCCCTTTCTGGGGTAGGAAACTGCAACTGTATGAGAAGCTTCTGGGTGACCAATCACTAATGAACCACCATGTTGTCTATGCTGTCAGATTCCATTAAACAAATCAAAAAGAGCTTGATCAGACAATTCCTAACTGGCGCTCAGTCTGTGACAGCTAGACACTGGCGTCAAACCAAACCACCATCGCTGACTGAATGGGCTTGTGAAATGGACAGAATCGACTGCTTGAAGGGTATGATAGTCTGGGATGAAGACAAAATTGAATCCTAACTCGTGCAAGCTGTATGGTCCTATTTTCGTTACTCTTTGCATCCTTCATATCTGGCAAGGATTGAATACCTGGCTGTATCCAGGACCTCCATGCATGTGTGCCTCTTTCCCTACCCCCCCTTTTTTTTTTGCCCCTCATCCTTGTCATCTGTATTTCTTCTCTTGCCTTTTCTCCATATGACACCTATTTTCTCTTTGAGTTGCCAGGAACGGCTGTACACATACTGTAGCTGCTGTCCCGTTTTGCCTATATGTTGCAGGAGACATTTTCATAGCCTTGCTACTCTTGTTCACTACTGTACTGGCTATTGGGTATGAGGGCAAACTGATGCTTTTTGATTTCCTATATGAGTAACTCCATGACTATTGTTTCCATTCATAGTTTTGATATGATAACCTAAGCTAATAGATGTGTGCCATATTACTTTTGAACCTTTGTGTTTGTGCTGATGTACCCTATACTTGGATGTATTGAACATAACGTCTGTTTTTGTGCTATATTATTTGAAAACTCAATAAAAAAAGATTAAACATAAAACCAAAGGTCTTTTCAGGTTTTGATTGCGTAGGGAAGTGTTGGAAGACAATGTTCCTGGTGATCATTATCACCCTGATAGAATGTCTGACATTTTACAGGAAAATCTTCCAATGTAATAGGGCAACTGATGAGCCTACACTCACTTTGGAGAGAGTTCCTTTCACTTCCTGCTATTATTGATGGGTTAGAGCCAGGGGCGGACTGACAACTCATGGGGCCCCCGGGCAATAGGGGATCATGGGGCCCCTGTGTCCTTACCCAAACTCAAAAAGCCTATGAAAAAGGTAGCAGGGGCATCTCATGGGGCCCCCTACTGACCCCGGGTCCTCGGGCAGTGCCCGAGTTTCCAAATGGTCAGTCCGCCCCTGGTTAGAGCAAGCACAAGAGACTTTTTCTCTAGCTCCTTGTCTGCAGTTATAGTGCACACTGCAGATGACCTGAATGTAAACAAAGCAATGCTTATATTGGGGCTCAAGCTTCATGGAAAGCAGACGGAAGGTGTTATATTTGTTCAGTATCCATGTATGCAGTGTCGGGACACGGTCATACAGCGTCCAGGGCAAAAATGCCAAACTGCGCATCCCCCCCCCCCCCCCAATTCATGTTTTTCTAGCTTATGGGATTCTATGCCCAGTGGTCACTCACTTGTCAAAATTACTGTGCAGCTCAGTTTTATCACTGGGCACATGCAGGTGTTGATGGCTCTCAACTCCTGGCTATCTCCTGGACACTTCTGCAGGATGTGCTCTCTCTCTCACATCTCCTTCCTGCTAGTACAGCTCCTGTTTGTCTGTGAACACCCCCAGGTGTAAATACAGGATAACTGCACTGGAGAGGGAGTGAGAGCATAGCCTGCACCGAGTCCCAGCTCTCTTTTTCTCTCGTCACTGCTCCCAGCACTGGGCTGACAGGAGTAGTGATGCCGCTGTCACTACTCCTGTCAGCCTTGTGACAAAAGGAAAGCACACCCATCCCTACACTAAATCATTGCACCCAGGGCAGCCGCCCCTCCTGCCCATCCCTTGTCCTGGCCCTGCATGTATATAATAAAACAGCTAATGTGTTTTTTTTTAAAGTACAGTTATCTTTAAACACCAGAAACACTCTTTAATCCTAGTCCAGCAATGATTTTGATGCTATTACTGCACTTTTTCATTCACTTTTGATACCAGAATATTTCTATCAATCCATGTCAGACTTTAAATGGACTGATCTTGGCATGGACTCAGTAGCTGCAAGCTAAAAAGTAACCTGAAACAAATTATTGATTTCCTGTCTACAAAGCGACCATCATCCTCATTAACCCTCTTAGTATTTACTTGTTCTGCTGGGATAGGAGAGCAAAGATGAGTCTCTTTTTCTTCTTTGGTAAGGGTGGATCAATATTTAGCATGCTTGCCATTGGTGGAAATTGTTGATGAAATGCTGGCCACTGGGCACAGGTCTTTGTTCGCAGGGTCATCAGACATTACACTTTGACGGTCTGAAGAGAGCAGTACAGTTTACCTCTGGAGTAACGGGATTCTGACAGTGAACATGAAGACATACTTACTTTTCCTCCCTGCCTTCCTGGGCCTAGTGACCAGCATCCCTGTTGAGACGGAGGTCTCCATTACACCACAAGAGAACTTTGATGTTACCAGGGTAACTTCCTGATTTTACTTAATTGCTTTCTTGTTAATATAGAAAATAGATAATCATAATGGTTACATTTCTTCCTGCTATTACTGAAGAATGGTTGTTGTATTATTGTGTGGATAATAGTGGACATATGGCATTTCCAATGTATTGACTTTAGAACAGCAAGAAAGAGTTTTAGAATTTATTTTAGAATCTACATTTATTCTTTTTTGTATCAAAAAGCCAAGTTCTAAATTATTGTTGAACATCTTTCTATCCTCTCATGCTGGTAATACAGCACTTCCCATAATTGCCTTTTCATCATTAGGGATGAACAGAGTGATATCAGCCTATTGACTTTCCACAAAAGTACTGTTTTTTGGGATGTATTTAGGTCAATTTATTTTATTAGTGTTCTAGTGTTTTTTGTATTTGTGTTTTTTTTTCATGTTTTTTGTGTATTTGATGGTTATTTGTGTTATTCATATTTTTTTTTTCCACTTTGTTTTTCCTATTGGTGACAACCAAGTACAATAATGAGAGGTCATTTTTTTGTACAATCACAGGTCTAAAATAGTAATAGGTACAACAGCTGGTCTCAGAATAGTTGGAAAGAGCTTCTGTAACCCAGAGGAGCAATTAAAAGCCCATAGCACACTTAAAAAACAACCAAAAACCACCTTAGTGTAGTTTTCCCCAATGACTTGAATGCATTTAGCCAATATAGCAAAACTTTGATTAAATCACCTAATTTTTTTAACTGTTTATTTGTATTTATGCAATACATTTTTAAGACCATAGTAAGAGAAACCCACAATACATGATAAATGAAGGAAAAATAAGTACAGCTATATGGCGCTTCCTGAAAAGAGCAAGAAAGCAATTAGGCACAACAGTCAGGTAACATCATGTATCAACATGTCTTTGTATGTGTAGATGCGTACACACCGGGACCCATGACTAAGAGGACTTTGGCGGGTTGAGTTTAGAAATTTGTGTGGGAAGTGTAGCAGAGATGAGGGTAAGTGCAGGAGATTTAAAAAAAGGGAAAAGAAGATAGGGGAATACTCAGTGTTCTCTGTACCCTGTTAGGATCCCCAACCAATCCTGGGGCATAAAAAGATACCTGCTTCCTGATTTTTTTACCAGTACCCCATAAGACTCTCAGTTTTTGTTACTCATCATGACCAATGTTTCACATTTTATTTTTACAGTTCTTTTATCTATCTGTTTTTCTTCTCATGATTATTAGCTTATTTCCTTATGAATGTTCCTTCTGCATGATGACATAAATAAAGTAATGAAGTGTTCCTGCTTTTCTAGTCGTAACCAATGACTGGAGATATAAGATGGGAAATTACACCTCTGTTCAGAAGCTTAAAGCGGTATTAAACCCAAAGCCAAAAATGTAATATATTGCAGTTTACCAATCATTAGATGTGGTGGCTGCATTTGTTTTCTTATTTTTGGCTTTTTTCCCCTCTGTTTTCTCCTGGGAATCTAGCTAGTAACACACCTATTGTATTAGAGGGCCGACAGTCTGGATAAAGTAGTACAGGGGCACCACTTAGACAGCAGCATTGTCAGTCTTGGGGGTGGGGGGATGTTGGATGGACTAGCAGATTTAGATATACTAACAAACTGAAGCCAAACTCCAGCTCACACTGGAGTTACACAAACAGTTCCAGAAACCGTTTTTCTTTTCCTCTTGGGATAAAGATTTTACATAAATAAATAAAAGCTGACCGTTGTAAGCACCCCTGTCAGGAGTAAATGGTTTATCTCAACCCATTAACTGCTACATCTGCAGGACAGCTTGTTCTGTTGAGAAACAGCAGACTTGCTTGTCAGATCACCAGGTGAAAATAAAGGAAAGAGAGTCTAAAAAGGAAAATAATGCAGCCATCACATTTAGGTTGGTATTGGTAAGCTGCAATATAATAAATGCTTGATTTTGTGCTGCTTTAATTCTAAGTGTCAGGTTCTAACACAGATAATGTGTTTGATGAAATGTTCTTTATTTCAATTTAATATTGACTGCTTATTTTAACAAAGCACCTGGATGTAGGCTGGAGTTGGTAACAGTCCACCAATAAGGCAGGTTCAGCATTTTAGGGTTGAAGGTTAGGGATTAGGACATAAGTGTATATAAAGCCAAATTGTTTTAGTGTACAGAGCGTAGAAAAGTCAGAACCTCCTGTTTATTTTTTGTCCCCACTGGGGAAATTCTACTTCTCTATGTTTCCTGATGTCCATTGTCTCAGGTATACAAAAGTGATGGGAAAGCCAAACTATGAACAAAGTTTCATAAAAACAGATGGTGAGGAAAACCCTGTTCTGGTGACACTGTCTAAGGCAGCCCATACAGTAACCACTTGCCCTCCCGAGTATTTACCCCCCTTCCTGACCAGGCCTTTTTTTTTTGCGTTATGGCGCTACGTTACTTTAGCTGACCATTTCGCGGTCATGCAACACTGCACCCAAATTAAATTTAAGCCCTTTTTTACAACGAATTGAGCTTTCTTTCGGTGGTATTTGATTGCCTGTGCATTTTTTATATTTTGTGCTATAAAAAAAAAGCGACAAGTTTTCGTTCTCCCCCCCTTTTTCCCCCCTCTCCCCCTCTTTCCTCTCCCTCTCTCTTCCTCTTTCCCTTTGTATATATATCATTTATTTTCTTCTTATTTCCCCTCTTCTATATAAAATTCTAAACGTAAGGTCGTTGTCCTCTGGACTTTATGCATACACCATTTTTGCCACTATGGGCTTCATATGGTCTTTATTGAATGGGATTTATCCCTAGTTTTCATTTGATTTTGTATTGTTGTAGATTGTCCACCAAACCTATATGTGCTTTGGATCTTATGCTGTTGTGTTACACTTTAAGCCTATATATCACATGTACTTGGTGACAACATGTAATACGGTGTCCCTTTACTTCATACTGTTTTCTAGCAGTCCTGGATGCTGCCTTCTGATAAATTGCCACCTGTGCAATAAGTCAATCCATGACATTTCCTTGCTACTAAATATTCCATGGTCAACTGTTAATGATGTTATAACAAAGTGGAAGAACTGGGAACAACAGCAACTCAGCCACAAAGTGGTAGACCACGTAAAATTACAGAGTGGGATCAGTGCATGCTGAAGTGCACAGTGTGCAGAAGTCGGCAACTGTCTGCAGAGTCAATAGCCTAAGACTTCCAAACTTCATGTCGCCTTCAGATTAGCAGAACAACAGTGCATAGAGAGCTTCATGGAATGGGTTTCCATGGCCGAGCAGCTGCATCTAAGCTTTACATCACCAAGTGCAATGCAAAGTGTCGACTGCAGTGGTGTCTAGCAATCCAATGGACGAGCAATTTATTGCAGACAAACCTGGAGTGGCAGTATTAGTGGTGGGGGACTTTAATATGGTGCTGGATGCGAAGATGGATAGGCTCCCTCCTGGTGTATCAGCAGACAGTGATAGTGTTAGCAATATATTTGCTCAACTTATTAAAGAAGCAGGATTGTATGATGTGTGGAGGTTGTTGAAATCTGGCTAGTTGTCAGTAATCCTGCTTATCCCTTACTCATTTTACACTCTCAACTCTTGACCTTGCCCTGGGAACTGATAATGCCTGGGTTTTATATCTAGTTTAAATTACATGCCCAGAGACCTTTCTGACCACTCTCCCCTAATTCTGTTGATGCGTCTGGGCGGAAGTCATCATCCAGCAGAATGGAAAATAAATCCTTTTTGGTTTGAGTTAATAGGGAAGCCAGAATTGGTGTTGATGTTAATGGAGTTTGTGGAGATGAATGTAGGTACTGTGGGCCCAGGGGTAATGTGGGA